TGTATCGCCAGCACTCCCTGCACTCACTGGACATGGGAAGGAAGCCCTGGACAGTGGAGCCAGCTGCCTTCCTTGCTGGGGCTATGCGACATGGGAGGGAAGCCCCAGGCACCTTCCTTTGGGGGGCGGGCAGAAACTGTGCCCCTCACTGCAGTGTGCAGCGCTGGGTGGAGCCATGCCCCGTGAGGCACCAGCATGAGTGCCCTGAGCGGGGGGCTCACCTGCTGCTGCATCACTGGGGCAATGCAGGGTCCCCATGCCCCTCGTCACACACCACAAACCCCACATACCCACACCCTGCCCCCACAATCCCCCACATACACACAACCCCAGACCATACCCTATGCCCCCCCACAAATCCCCCAGCCCCCTAAACCCTACCATACACACACACACACACATCATACACACATGAACCTCACACAGACACACACACACAAACACACACCCCACCATACATGCATGCGTCGCACACATGCACACACATACACCACCACACATATACACACACATGTACCATGCAGACACCACCATGCATGTGTACCCCCCCACAATATACAAGACTAAGAATTTATTTGTGTGTTATTATGCAATCCCCTCTATATACACTATACAAACACAAATAATGACAAAAATATTTTTTGTAATAAAATTAAAATGTGTTATAGTAGGTGTTTGAGTTTTAGTGTATGATTTGGGTTTTTTCTGGTTCTAAGATGGCAACCCCCGCCCTCCCAAAAGGAGTATTTTCAGGGGGCAAGGGGAGGGACTTCCGGTGGTAAAGATCAGGGGTTAGGGATGGAACTTCTGGTCCCAAGATGGTGTCCAGGGGGTGAGGCAACTGTGAAGGGGTGGGGTTCCCCATGCAGCCCTTGACAGTTCACCAAAACTCATTAAGCTGCCCTTCACCCAAAATTAATTGCCCACCCCATATCTAACTCCTGGCCCCTCTACTCAGACCATTCGGTACTTTATGCTCCAGCATGGATAACAATTCTGAAACCTTTTACACCTATATGTGATCCCTATTACTCTGCAGAGATGCACAGTAGTGGAGTCAGGTTCATGATCACATGTGAATTAGCAGGACTAAAGGCCTAAATTGTTCATTTTACTTGTAATGGCAAAAGTCATCTGCCCTCCCCCTCTCCCATGCAAAGTTATTTTCTGTTTTCATGAATGTATTATATCAGCGAACAGTTTAATTTGGTTTGATGTGGACATTTTACAAATTTAAGGTATGATTGTTGTTTGAAGATCATACAAATTTCATATTTAAAAATGATGAAAATGTGCCCTTCTTCCCTTCCCAGACAGAACAAAACAAAACTCATGAATGAAGATTGTTGCTGTTAGTGGTGTAAATTAGTTTTCTTCCTTGGACAGGTAGGAATAGCATGGGTCAGGAGAAGGGTGATGAGATATGGCTCCCGATTGCTGAACGTGGGATAATGAGCTCTCTTCAGCATTTGAACTGCAGGGCTGGTAGGCTGTTTCGGCATGATCATTTCTGCTGCTGTCAAACTGAAGCCAAACAAAATACAAAAATATATCTTCGAGGCAAACATTAGCTTTTTTTCCCCTGAGGGAGATCCACATCTAGTGGGTCAACGGGCCAGTATTTTTTCCTGGATCTTCAGCCTGTACATAGCTCTAGAAGCAAACAGAAAACCCATTGCAAAAGAAATATGCGGGCCTTTCTATGTAGAACTGTTTCATTATCAAAAACCCTGTTGTGACTTTTAGGACTTTCTAGAATAAGGAAGTGCACTTAAATGAGTGAATTTGCACCTTGTACTCATTCTGCATGACAAGGACTGTACAGTTGCTCTGAGGATTTTATGTCTCCTAGACATTGTTCTATTCCTATGCAGAACTGAGGTTTCACTTGTCTGAGAGTCTTTCTTTTGTATTTTGCATCATTTTGGGCTTTTGGTCCTAATTCTTGTCTACTTATATCCTTTCCCTTCACTTGAAAATGACCTTCTTAACTGCAGTTCTGTACTTAGCAGGTCTAGGACATTATGTTATCCATTATCCTGCCATACTCCATCGTGGGACTGACTGATCTCATTTAGTGCTAATGTAAATTGAGAAGAACTGTAGAGAAACCAGGGGAGTTACACAAGTGAGAGACTGTTATGAGATCATGTTTCAGGCCAATAATTACCGACTACCTTGTGACATCACACTGTTTTGTGGCCATTGGTAGGGCTATATCTCGCTGTATTGCTGTGCTAGTCCTGTTCACCCTTAGGATTCAGACTCAGCGGCAATACCCTTCTTTGAATTTTTAACCCTGAGAGATCATTCCTCCTAACAAGCTCTGCCCTGAAGAAAGTTGAAAAGACTGAACAGCTGTTTCAGGCCAAAATTTTCCTTTTTGTCAGGGAGAAAAGAATACCTCAAGAGAGGATCTGGTTCAGGTCAACACTTTGTAACAAGGTCATTATATTCACCCTCCAAAGGTCTCCAGAGGGAATCCTGTTTTCTCCCAGGCTTTTAGGGTGTTGGACACAGATTGGCCCTGGTTGTACTTCTGAAGTGCCTGATAACATTGCACAGCTCAGTCAGGCAAAGGCAGTTTTGGTTAGAATTGCCTTGAGTTGGAGCAGACAACTGGAGTAGTTGGAGCAGGGAAAAGCTGTTTGACTTCTGCAGCTCTTGCATGCTCTAATGAGTTGGAAAAAAATCTGTGTGGGAGTTGCAGACTGCTGTCAACCAGCATGTTTCCAGCTTTCTCAGCTCTCTAGAAGTTCCCTATTGGATAAGAGCAAGGCAAGACAATGGCACTCACTAGCATGAAGCCCTCTGGGGCTAATAGCACAGGTGAGAAAGCAAAAGGCAAGAACAGAGAATGCAGTGTAGGACATTTAGCCACAGCCTGTAGTGCTGGCTGGTGTGGCATCAAGAACAGGAATTCATTATGCCTTCAAGAGCACAATGTCTGTCAGAGCTCCTTGGTTACAGAGCAATCTATAACCTTTCTTAGGGTGCCCTTTTGAGCAAGTTCCTTCTAGCTGGCACAGAGCAGCTCAGCAGCAGCTCTGAATAGGATCTGCAGCTCTGTTGATGACGTGTGTAGGCTGCAGGAGTGTGGTGTGTATGGAACCACTTACTCCTGGTCAGCTTGTCCTCTTCATTTTGCACTAGCAGTGTGCCTCAGTGCAGAGGGTGCACCGCATGAGGTCCTACACACCATGGCGGCTAGGTGATGCAGGACTCTTAAGCAGGATCTCTGAGCTGAAATGCATTTCACCTGTTGTGAACAGCTATGTGACACAAATACACAGAAGCCTTTCTTCTAATACATTAATGGAGTAAATGGAGAATGTCAATAAGAGAAAAAGGGATGATAATAAGAAGGGTAAGGAGGAGAGAGCCAATTTAACACCATGAGCAGTGTGGTCTTTTTCAGATGGTTTTTAAAATCATAGAAAACCTTAGAGCAGTGATCCTCAAATAGGGTGTTGCAAGACCCTTTGAAGGGCGTTGTGAGGGATGAGGCAATAAAACGGATCAGTGCAGGCTCAGGTTCAGTCCCTGCCTGGCCACCCCCATCCTCACTGCCTTTCCCTTCTGCAAGGATGTAAGCACTGTAATAAGTTAGTTTTTTAAGTGGGGTGCTGCTCAATTCACAAAGTTATAGAAGGCTTCTTAAACTAGTGAGAGGTGCCTGCAGTTGTAAAAAGTTGAGAAACAATGCCTTAGAGCTGTTGTAGTATGACCAACCCAAGTATTAAAATAAATCATCGATGTCCTCCCAATACCACAGATTTGACTCAAACTTTGAGATTTGTAAATAAAAGTAAGATTTTTTTTCTTTTTATTTACTTTTTGGGACTTTTTATGTGAGACTTAAAGGCTCAGATTTGCAAGCTCTTCTTTGTGATCATGAGCACTAGAAACTTCCTTTCCTTAAAGTGTCAGGTCCCTATCTGTTACATGACACAAAGAGCTGGGCCTTTGAGAATAGGACTAAGTATCATGAGACCTGCAATAACATTTCAAGAGCTGTCAACACTGCAGAGGGAAAGACTCCTTTTTCCTCTGCCTCTCATATGAAAATTCTTGATAAATCATTGTTTCCCATCATGCCTTCAGATGCAGTGCAGACTAAAAGGAGGGTGTGGTTCCTGTCCCAAATAGTTTACTCCATGGGTGATATTCATTCTTGTGCATAGAACTAGAACAATATATATGGACTATATAAGCCCTTTATATGTGGAGTATAATCTTTGTGTTGCTTTTTACACAGGAATGAATTTTACCTTGTGTGCATCTGTAATCCACAGGACAGTAGCTTCCCCATGGTGTGTGTGGGCAGTAAGTGGGGGTGTATGGAGCCAAAAATATCAGCAGAAAAGACAGATTTTTCTTCAAAAGAAGAAAAAAAGAAAAACAGCCCAAGCATATTCCTTGTATAATTTTGACTTCAGTACAGTTTACAGCCATGATGATTTCAAACTAGAGATTTTGAACCCTCTTGAAATTGTACTTGCTTCAGGAGAAAAACAACAGGATGGGTTTGCTGTGATTTCTGCATCTAGATGGCACTCTTACAACACATTTGCTTCAACATGAAGCTCCATAAAGGCTAGAGCAATGTTCAGCAGAAAAGAAAATGCTATAGGCAAATGCTTATTCTTGGTAAACAGCCTAATCTTTTATCAAATAATTTATTTTATGTAAAGGAAGGATTTTAGTTTGCAAAGCTAATCTGCCTTGTCTAAACCCTTACTTTTATCTTCGAAGCCCAAGCTAGTGTCCAATGTTTGGTATTTAGTAGATAGGATTTGGAATTCTTATCAGATGAGAAATCTTGGATTTTAAATTTCTGGTCACGTTTCTGTGAAATAAATCACCACAAGCAACTGACATTTTTTGACAGTGTATTTTCTTTTCTTTTTCTTGAATGCCTAAAACATTTATGCTTGGGAAGTGTGTGTCTTACAATTATCACAAGGCTATAACTGTATTCTAATTTTTTTTTCAGGTTTTCCTCAGAGTAAATGACTGAAGAAAAAAAAGTAAGTGAAGTTTTATATTTTTCTGGCTCCGATACTGACAGTTAAATTGTTCCACATGAGCCAGTAGGTATCTGGCTCTATCAGGGGGTGGAAATCAATGACATGAGGAAAAGAGATTTAATAAGAGATGCCAACTTTACTTTGAGACATGTTGCCAAGCTTTTACTTGTAATTACTGGAGAGATTTATACCCAATGAAACCCTCCTTTTGGATGCGAAGCGGGGGACTGTTTGTTAAAGGTGAATGCATCTCCTGGTGACCCCCATTTGAGGATGGGGATGCTTAGCACTTCTGCCAGTCCAGTTCCAAGCACCATCTTTTTTCTCCATGTGATATTCTTCACCCAGATTTTTGGGTGAAGCCCAGCAAGCCTGCAGCATGAAAGCATGGGGTTAGACATTAATGGCCAGGCTAATATATGAAGGATACCCCAACTGTATCATTGGCATCCTTACTTTTGAACAGAAATGCATTACATTTAGAAATGTCCAATATAGAATGTAAATGTGAAAGCAGACAGCTATCAGAGAGTGTTTGTAGCTACTGACCTAAGGTTTCATTGACTATTGTAGTACTGGAGGATAATCTTCAGAGAGGGGTTGCCCTGAATGCCTTTCCCAGGGTATACATGTTGCACTTGAATGACCTGATTGCTGTTTCTCACCCTGGTTGGCTATTATGCTCTTGGGTTGTCCCAATGAAGTCAGTGGAACTACTTGCATGAGTAAGAGATTAGTAATCTGGCCGTATATGAATAAACTGTCAGAGAGTTAGCGTATTCTGTATTAGTAGTAGCCTTTTTTTTAATAGTGGCATTTATAGTATGCAAGTGAGAATGGGACCCTGGTGTACTAGGTGCTATGCAGTACTCAGACCTATGTGTTGTTATCCTTCTGGCCCTGCAGAACAGGCTAAGAAAATAAGAACATTTCTATGATACATCTGGAGATTCAGAGCAGATAGTTTCTGCATAGAGGAGCCTGTGGTAGAGCAGGTAATTGAACCCAGAGATCTGCTTTACTTCCTTAAACAGAAAACCACACTTTCTGTCTGTGTTAGTGATTCTAATTAATTATACAGCTTTATCTCATCAGGTACAAACCATCAGGCCTGGGTAAAATCTTGTTCTCCTTTTTTTCTTCTTAAACATAGTTACTGTAGATAGCATGCCCATTGAAAAAAAATAGAAGCAATCCCATTTTTCATTTCTATCATAGACCTATTCTGTGCCTACTGTGTCGTGGGATATTGATTAAGCAGAGGACAGAAGGATGGTACTGCACGAAGTCTTTCAAGGTTTTGATGCCAGTACAAATGGTAGTAATTAGTGACCGTTCATCTTTGGAATACAGTGATTTCTTCCCCTGCCTGCCTTTGCCCTTCTTTGTTATATAAGATATACTCTTGGATTTATTATCCAGGGCAGATGTGCTTGGGGGCAGCTACAACAGGGTAAGGTATAAAGAAAGAGTGCATCTGAAGGCTTCAGCATAATTGCAACTGTCGTAATGAGTTTTCCTGTTGAGCAATAGGTACCTCCATGAATGTGATATGATACACTCTGGTGGAGATTCTCTCATTGTGGCTGAATGCTGTGTAAAATGTCTGGCAGCATTAAGATTGATGCTCTTCCTCCATATGTTTAGAGAAAAATGCCTGTGGCCACATTTCATAGCCACACACAAACATGTGGTTGAACAGGCCTATCAAAACATCAGTGAATAATCCTATCTTTTGGGTAGTCTGGGCTCGACTCTTCTCCCACTTTGATTTCACTTGGGCAAATTCCATTGACACCAGCGAAATTATTCACTCTGGTGTAAGTGACAGGATAATCAGGCTACCTCCTCACAGAATATGCTGCACATTGTTCATCCATCCTATTGCATAGGTCCACAGGGAAAAGTGTGTGTGAATAGGCTTAATAGAAAGCCTTTGGCATAGATTTGGGTTAAAGCAGATACACAGTCAGATCTAGTTTGTCAGCTCTGTAAATCCAGATGTCATAGCAACACTTTGTGCTTGGAACATATGGTAGAAATCAGTGTTCAGTATTACGATGATTTATATCACAGTAGCAATAGGGGTTTCATTGTGCTGGGAGCTGTACAAATATGAAAACAGTTTCTGAAACAAGAGAGCAGAAATAATTATTCTGCTCATTAACATTTACCTGTTTAAGACTTCATTCTGGCCTGCCCATTCTGCTGTTTAATCTCTTGACCTACCTGTTTATGTAAAGAGGATCAAGCAACATCAGATCCTAAAACATGGTCAAACCTGAACTGGTCAAGAAACTGATCACCTGGATGCCATGGACACAAATCTCTTATTAGCATATGGGCGACTCCCATTAAACTTAATGGCACATTGCACATGAACTTCATAGAGCAGAATTTAGCTTGGATATACTACAGAAATATATTGCATCAGCTTTACTGTATGAACACTGTACCACTAAACTCATCTTTCACTTGATACTGGAACTGTTTGAATCCCTTTTCTGAGCATGTGCAGCCAGAGCTGGGACTGGAAAAGGAGCCTGATACACATAAGAGGGCAGGCTAGTGATCTTATGAATGGTTTGCCAATATTTGCTCATTGGCTCAACTTGTAGTTTGGTCTGCTTAAACTGGGCTATCTGTGACACAATGGCTTTTTCTTGGTCCTTCTTTCTCACTGATAGATGCTTGGGTGATATTCATTTATGTACAAAATATTGGTGGTGTCCATGCTGGTTCTGTGCAGAGTTGTGGGTTATAAAGGTATTCATTGGCATTTTAAAAAAGATCAAGAGCTCACAGTCGTAACTTATCAGCTATAGTGGAAGTAGATGTCATTTTCTACATATCAGTGAATGGAATGGGCTTTATCTTGGTGCATTGAGAATGGCGGGATGGAAGCAGTTATCTTAAACCCTTTTCTCTGAAATCAGTATGTAAACTTGCTGCAGGTATTTTCTTTCATTTGTTTGAGAATCTGACATAACGGATTTCATGCAAAAGCTCTTTGATCACAATTCTAACTTGTAACTCCTTTTCTTTCCAGTGCAGGGAGTTTTTGGGCAGAGACAGCCAGGTATGTTTAATTTTGCCAAATAGGTAAGATTTATTGACAGTGGAAACTGGCTACTAGGTTGAATTAAAATGGAATAACAGAAGCCCAGTGTTATCACCAATGTACTGATTCAAATTCTCTTTAAATTTATAGGTCTTTGCCATAGGACTTGGATCAGCAGGGCTTTATTTCTAATGGCTAACTCTAGAATTTAAATTACTCTTGTTCCTTCAATCCAGCAGTGAAGTTCAACATTCATCAAAATTCCAGGCATGCCATGCTGTTCTATAGAATTAAATTGTTTAAATTAACCAATAACTTAGATGGCAGCACCCCAGCATTTAGTTTGTTCTGAGTTAAACTCTTAAACTGTTTGACCCTTTTCTTTTTATTAAGTGTAGTCTCCTTTGGATTTGAACCCAATACTTTAGAGATGACTTTAGAACTGACATAATATAGCATGTAGCTCTGTCCACTTATCAAAGACATACATTAGAGCTAAAGAGTGCCTGTCATTCTACTTGTGTGAGTTGGGAAAGACACTTCATAGAAGTTGACTTCTTTTAAGAGAATCCTTTAATAGAAAATCTCATTATGCTACTATATAGATTTTATTTGATATTTTCCGAGAGTCTGTTACTCATGTTCCCTGTATAACAAATTATAACCAAAATGGAAAAAAGTTATCAGTAAAAATGCTTCTAAAATTGAAATTGTGGCTTGTGACTTCCTCAATGATTTAAAAAAAAAATGATTACTAATGATACATATGTGTGTGTCTGCATTTTTACAGTTTGGTGAGCAGTATTGTTTTGGGGTTATATGTTCTTAGGAGGTAATTGTCCTTATGATTTGAAATCTAGCTGTAAAAATATTCTTGCTCTCTGCCCTGGAGTTTTCAGAGCTAGCATGAGATCTGCCACTGTGTGACTGCAGTGAGGGAATTCAAGAAGATTTTGCCTGTTGCTGTGGCAGATCACAAATGGCAATCCCTGTAAAGAGGGTCTACTAAATCTAGTTTCCTCTGTGGAGAAGGTCACTCAGATTAGGGACAGAAATTACTCATAAACTGGTATAAGTAATCAGAAACTGATTAGAATCTGTAACACAACAGAAGTTAAGTGCACATAAACCGTTTTGAAAATGGCTGAAACCAGTTTAAGATAATCCTAGATGGATGTAGTTTTAGACTTAACTGTCCAAGATCCCCAAGTTCAAGTTCAAGTTAACCCACAGTCCCCCAGCATTCCAGGATGCTTTGCACCTCCCCTGCACCACTCCCCCGTTTCCCTCTTGCAGGGTAGGTGGGCTAGCCTTGCCCCAAACTGTCTGAATCAGTCAAACAGGGAGGTGTGCTCTAGCAACCCCCAGCTTCTGGTTTGAGCCACTGCAGGCATGTGCCTGCATTTCCAGAATCAAAAGTGAATGTCTGTTCTCTTGCTTATAAATTCAATCTACATAGCTTAGGATAACCTGTGAAGATTGAATCGATTCAGCCTCAGGCTTTTTCACTGTCTGTACTTAGTCTCAGAGACAGTAAGGAGGAAAAAGGTCATGTTCTGTGTCTCCCTCATCCCTCTCTCAGGTTGGTACTTGTGTCTGGAGGCAGTATGGAAGGCATAGCTCAAGCATAACTAGCTCAGGAGGTGCGGTATTTCTTAGTACTCCCTTCCAGGCTGTGTAGCTACTGACTACTTCTTCCTTGTAATAGGCATCGTCTTGTTTGCAATGGAATAGTTAGAGTAGTAAATGTCAGCCAGCACCATTTGAAAGGGCTGCACTCCTGCATGCTGTGAATATTCACTTGGTTCATAGGAAAAACACAGGTTACACTTGTAAAGCATATTGCCTCCTTTGTAGCTGCTCTTCCCAGTATGCATCAAAAGGACCTTTTCTGATGAGAAGCATACTGTCAGCACTTGCAACAAATGCAAGGGAAGAATGATAATGTAGAATAGGGCTGTCCAGCTTCTAAGTGGCTGGGGGCCAAATGCTTTGTGGGCCACACCTGTGGAGACCACATACTGGTGAGCTACACCAGTGCAAGCCACAGGCGTCCTGGGCTGCATAGATGCTCTTCCCCCCCTCCCAGCACCGTCCCAGTGCACTCCCCATGCTGTAGCACTGCATATCTGTATCACCTTGGCCTCATTCTTAGGTCTCTGTGCCATGCCACACTGCTCCCTGGGGTGGAGGTTGGGAAGCTGAAGCGGAAGGACGGTGGGGAGCAAGGAGGAGTCCTGCTGCAGCTGGAGCAATGGAAGCTTCAGCTTGCCTGCTGGGTGGGAGCTTGGGGCCATAACCAACCTCTCATGGGGGAGAAGGGGGTCCATGAGATGCCAGTTGGACAGCCCTGCTGTAGATGGCAATGCAGGACTGAAGGCAGGTAGATGCCACTACCATCTCCCACTAGGGTGACCACCTTTTTAAAATATAAAGGCCTGCCTTCTCCTCTCTCCCCCTCTCCCCACCTCCACTGGAGGCATGGCTGGAGCAGAGCCAAGTGGAGTGGGGCTGGATGCAGGCTGCCTGCTGTGGGCTCAGAGCTCCCCTCCCTGCTGTCCTTTCTTCAGGAGCTCTGCACTGGTTGCACACCCTCTGCCTGCCTGGCAGCAGTGGGGGGCACAACTCCACAGTGCTGCCACCCTCACTGTGCTGGGCTGGCAGAGGGCGTCTTGCTATGGCGGCACAGGGCTCCTCGGGGGAGGACAGCAGGGCAGGGAGCCCTGAGCCTGTATCAGGCAGCCTGCATCTGCCCCCACCCCACAGCACAAATTTGGGGGGAACATGTGCCCCCCATGCTCCCCTGGGGGGTGCACATAGTGGTGGGGAGCCACAGTTCCCATGCCCTGTGCCTCCTGGATGAGTCACCCATAGCTCCTTCCTGCTCCAGGCCCTGGCCCTATGCACCGCCCTGGATGGGTAGCACCCCCAGTCCCTATCCCACTCCCTCCCTTACTGTGGGGGGCCTCGATCTGCTTCCGCCTCCCACTCATTCCCCTTCCCCCCATAGACTTACCTGCAGGGAGCTGCTCTCCGAGCTGCCCTGCCCAGCTGTATTCCAGGCCATATGCATGGGACATGTGCACTTGGCACCCACTGCATCCTGCTCCTGGCAGCCCCAAGCTGGAATGCTGCCAACCTGCAAGGGGAAACCCACCATTTCCCGCAGATCCCCACATGACTCTGTGAATCTGGGACAAATGTTGTCCTGGAGTCATGCAGCCTGGGACCAGGACTTGGGGTTCCCAATCTGGGACTGTTCTGCCCAATTAGGGATGGGTGGTCCCACCCTGCTGTGTTCATGGTTTGAAAATAAGCAAAACAAAGCATGAAAGAAATGAAGAGCTGCTCTAAGAGCTGGTTAAGGTGTAAGCATGACAGTCTATGCCCAGCCTGCCAAATATGAATATAATAATAATAATAATAGGGAGTAACTGAAATCCTGGATATGAACTTTTCTCCCCCCACACAATACTGGAGTACCAAAAATCCAAATCCAGATCAGGATCGGACTTTCATAAATGTTCCACATCATTTTAACATGCTAAACCCGAAGCCCCAGCTCTGAGCACTGATTTTCTGGGGTGCTTGGAAACCCGATTTAAAACTGAATTTTTGTGGCTTGGGCCTTCCTTTATGATTTACCTTCATAACTGCAGATGCCTTTCATAATGTGTATGTGAGAGCACTAAACCACATTACTACCATTTGCATGGTAATGAAGGTGCTTTCTTAGTCATTAGCATTACAGCAGAGGCTAATGGACAAGTATACAATACTTGGGGGAAATGAATGTTTTCAGATAATATAATCTGAAATGGCTATGTATGGATGTAATAACTGGAGACCTTGTTTATAATAGAAAGGGAATATATCAGTTCAGTGTTAATAAGAGGACATAACCCCCCCAGTGATAGCTCTGCCTGAAGGAGGTGCATCTCTGCAGGAGGTTTGGGATTACCATTCAGATACATCACCTGGGAAGTATCTTTCAGAAGCAGGCAAGCTGCAGCTAGAAGCAAGTAGCCAGTAGGGCTGTGTGAAATTTCACCAGCTAATTCGTTTAAAAACAGTGAAATCAAAATGAAATGAAAGGCTTCGAAACAGCCTTGAAATGAAACGTGGGCAGTCAAAACATTTTGAAAGTTTTGAAACGTTATGAGTTTCGAAGCTGGGCTTGCTTGCAGCTAAAGAGAAACTAAGGAGAGGGAGGGGGAAGGACTGCTCTGATATTGACTGTGTAGCTGGCCAGTGACTGTGATCCTTCCCTGAGGTCCCTTCCAATCCTGGTGCCCTCAAGGAGGGATGGGAAAACAGGAGGAAAAGCATTGTTTGAACTGAGCTTTCTCTGTGCCTTCACACTTACAAGTGACACAAGTTTTTCTCTGAACAGTTTGAGATGCAGTTTCCCACAAACCCCTGCACCCATCTCCTTGAAACTTGGCAGGCTTCAGGGACTCAGCAGGGGCTGTTGGCCTGCAGTTTTCACCCCGCTATGCCTTAACACACACACACATGACATAAGCTTTGCTTTCATGATTTTGAGGTGCAGTTTCCCAGAAACCCCTGTACCTATCTCCTTGAAGTTTGGCAGGCTTCATGGCCTCAGAAGGGGCTAGCATCCCTGCAAGTTTCATCTGAATCAGGCAAGAAGTGAAAATGTTATAGGCAATTTTATGCTTTTCCATTATAGCCTATGGGTGAAATGTTGAAACAGCATTGAAACAGCAAAACAGTTTCGACGAAACAAAACAGAACAGTGCTTTCAAAATTAAACAAAACTCGAAATGAAACACTGTCCCATTGAAGTGGCGAAACGGAAGTTGAAACAAACGGTGCTGTTTCGCATAGCCCTAGTAGCCAGGTTGGGATCTGTGAGTTAATGCACAGTTCTTTATGCTTGGTTTATTCAGGAATGCAGATTACTGTAATTGCAATGCTTTCCATAGCATTCTGTTGGCTTCTCTATTCTTTAAATGATATTTTATTGGAAAATTGCTGTAAGTGTTGAGTTGAACTGATTGAACTGGCCATTGCATTGCTGTCTAGGGCTAGATGTTATGCTTATGGAATTCCAAGGTCAGGAGAAGCAGATCAATAGATAAATAACTGCCTGAGAGCCATCCTCATAAGCACAGAGACATCTGAAATCTTCCTCTGTATCAGTTCTAGCAGAAGGTCTAGTGAGGCCCCCTTATTTAGATTTGAGCTAGTAAGAAGGTTTGGTATATTGGAGAAAAGCAGGAAAAGCATTTAAAGTCAAATGTCAAAAGTAAGACAATCTTTGAAAACAATTAAAAATGATGAGTAGCACCAGGATGTGGCAGAAG